TGACTACCACTGCTCCAGGGAATACTAACACATGGACCTCATTCACAAATATTACGCTTCTCTCTGGTTTAATATAATGTGCAAATTCACTTTATCACTTAGCATTATGGATAGATAAACCCAACATCTTATTTTTGACTTCAAATGTTTTCTGGGAATAATGAAGTCTATACAGATCCATTATATAGTGCAAGCCAGATTTTTATGCAAAATTTGCTGAATAAACCAAGAACAACTTAAAATCACCCTGGATTTTCACAATGCACACAATCAGATTAAAATACATGCCTTAGCAAGATTCATGATCGTCGTTCTAAATTTGGTGATGTTTTTTTTAACAATAACATTTAAAAAAATTTTTTTTAATGCTCTGACACAATAATAGCCACATTTAACCAATAAATAAAGTCCTAATGGTCTAGGTAAATTAATTCCAAGTGTGTATTCCCCTATTTCTTTCCATTTTCTGGGGAAAATATAGGACCAGCTTATATCAGGGGTGTCAAACTCAAGGCCATGGAGCCGGTCTGGAAATATCAAAGGACTGGGCTGCAGTGCCTCTGGCGGTTAAAACGGGCCACGTGCGCCCCTCCCCCCCTTGCGCCTTGTTTTCATTCTCCATGGCCTCCTGCCGCACTCTGGGCCACAAACAGGCCCCAAACAGGCCCAAAACAGGCTGAAAAACGGCTCAAAAACAGGCCACATGACCCATTTTTGGCTGGCAGTGTGCCATGGAGGGAGAAAATGAGGCACGGGATGGCGCACAGATCACCCATGCCCCATTTTGGCCAGAGGTGCTGCAGGAAGCATCTGTCCCGCCACCACCACCCTGCCAGCCCACAGAGAACTACAATGCTGATCTGGCCCTCAAAGAAATCCAGTTTGACAACCCTGAGCTATATTGTCTAAAAATAAACTTTAATTATGAATTCAGACTAATCTTGAGATAACAACTCATATTTTGTAAAACAGTATATGGATGTAAAGTGAAGCAGGAGTTTATAAACACCACCACAGAGTTGAAAACAGCTTTGCAAGAAATGATGATTGTAACTCTCAATACAAGGACTCACCTCCTGTGTAATAGCCATAAGCATAGAGTATTCTTCCAATTATCCATGCTATACCAAGTCCTGTAGCAACACGCTATGAAGAATGAATAATTGCACATGAAAGGATGTTTACAATTAAATGGATATTAAACAGACAGTTTGTCACAACAATTAGGATTTATACTGTGGGAGAATCATTCTGGAAATATATGATTACAGTAGCTGAGAAAGTAAATAAAGACAGGTACAAAACATAAAGCTTACTCCACTATTTCATTTGCTCCAGATTCCTTTTAACACCCTATATTGGGCAAGTGCAAAAACTATGAAGTGACATGATCAGTCCAATTATACTTGCTTTTACCCTGTATAACTTTTACCTTTCTTTCCAACTTTCTCTTTATCAAGTTACATTGTGAGCTTCTTTAATAGTGTGAATTTATGTTGAATGTGACAGAGCACATTCATTGGTTAAAAAGATCAACTTTTTGTGGTCTGATTCATGTTCCTAAGCAATAGCTGTCATCAATACCAATCCAAAAATATTTATTTCATAGACAATCTTCCATAATTCTTAAAATGGAACAGATAGATTACTCTTTAAGAGCTCAAAATATAGAAGAGAATAAAGGGAAAGATCTCCCAAAAGTGATGAAAGAATTATGGATGGCTGTTCTAGAGATCCAACAGTAAGAGATAGGTGTTGAGACAGATGAAATACTTGGATTAAATAAGTATGATGTAAGGAGATGCAAGATCCCAAAGGAGAAACATGAAAGATTTACCAAGTCAATAAGAGTTGAAATTCTAAAAAGGGCAAGAGATGATAGATATAGAATACTTCTTAATATGGTGGCTATTTCATTAAGAATTAGAAAAAAGAGGTAGAAAGTAGGAATTGGGAAAATAGTATCATGTATACTATAGCATGTTATAGCAGTTAGACTTATATACCGCTTCATAGGGCTTTCAGCCCTCTCTAAGCGGTTTACAGAGTCAGCCTATTGCCCTCAACAACAATCTGGGTCCTCATTTTACCCACCTCGGAAGGATGGAAGGCTGAGTCAACCCTGAGCCGGTAAGATTTGAACAGCCGAACTGCAGAACTGCAGTCAACTGAAGTAGCCTGCAGTGCTGCATTTAACCACTGCGCCACCTCGGCTCTATATACTGATATATAATAGAATATATTATAACAACAATGTATACACAAATTGAAAGATTATGATTATGTATATTTAAATAGTATTGTTATCATTAATATTGTGTATAAAGCATATTGACCCAGACAATACACTGTTCACTAAGCACTTATAGATGTTAAAGAAAAATAAAATTATATATAAAAAGAAGTTTCTGTATTATTATTTTTTGCAATGTAAGTGCTAATTTAAAAAAAAACTTGCAAATCAGGATGCAATATTTTACACTGATGCCAGATGCTGTTTACTGTATGAAAGTTATGTATTTATTAATTACATTTGTTTGTCGCCTATTTCATTATGAGGTGACTCTGGGCAGCTTACAACATTAAATAATAAAAAAATACAACAACATATATGCATTAGGAATAAAACATTAAAAAGAATAAAATACTATACAAATACAAATTATCAGCTATAACTTTAGTCATTTAGTCATTTTATTGACATTTATAGGCTGCCCTTTTCCCTAAGGGGACTCAGGGCGGCTTACATTTCATAGGAGGGGAGTGTAAGACAGGACACAAAAGAAATGTGAATAAAGGAAAATAACCAATAAAAACACAACATTCATTCGACATTAGGGCGGGGCGAGATTAGGATCTTATCCCCAGGCCTGACGGGATAGCCAGATCTTGCTAAAAGATAGATGGGTTTGACTATACAACATTAATTCATCTGCCTCTGGTTTTACTATATTGCCTTAAGTAGCATTAATGGGTTAAAAAGGTACATAAACATCCAATGAACAAGTTGCTAATCATATATCCAGACCTAAAAATATTGTTCTTACCGGGTAATAGATCCCACTGATTCCAAGAAAGAACAGGAAGGAAGGATATGTTTCCAAGCTAAAAACACAGAGATTTTAAAGTATACTTCATTAATGGGTTTTACTCATTCATGTCCAATTGAACATTATACAGAACTTTACACATCCACAAAAAGAAAGCAGACTACTCTGCTATCCCTTGATACCTTTAGCTTGCCTGCAATCTTAATAGTAAACACAAGTAGATTCATTTTACACTTTATAATTTTGCTGTGTTTTGTTTTTTTTGCACAATATATTCTTGATCACTGTCTTCTCAAGCAGGTGCTTTGCAGTTGTCTAGAATTATATCCAAATGACCAATAGTAGCATTTCATGATGTCTAAACACAGAGCAAGCAACATGACAGTCTGCCCCATTTATGTCCTTAGGAGAAAAGGCATATCATGAGTGCTGCATCAAAGTAACCAATATAGATTTCAGGCTTCCACAATTCCACCCTTATGTGCAATGGAATTCAGATGTCTTCTAGGCACCAAATCTGAAACAAATCAGGAACGAGCACAATCTAATGCAGACTACTTACGTGTTCTGGTGTGCCCTCTGGATACAGTTAAAGATATGTCCATTTTCAGGGTCTGTACTGTACATGGTTGGATACTATTGAGGGAAAAAATAGATACAGATATGATGTTATATGTATGTATGTATGTATGTATGTATGTATGTATGTATGTATGTATGTATGTATGTATGTATGATGTATTATAGCTATATAAATAATATATACATTAATCCAAAGTTTACAGTATATTTTTTGGCATGTACTTTTTTTCTTACTCATACGGTGGACAGAAAATTGGAAAACATATAGACAAATTAAAAATTAAAAAAATACATTAATACAGCAAAGAATGATTAATAAAAATAACATTTATAAATAATAAAATACTTTAATAAAGTAAAGTAACTACATTACCATGCTTTTGACCACTTTTGTTATGAAAGTAAAAATTAGATATATGAGAAGCATAAAAATATCACAAACCATCTCCGAGATCCTTTTTGGATCAGAAACACCACCCCCCCGGAAGGGGGGGGCGAAGAAGGGCAGCATCTCATCAGACCCAGAGGGAGGCAACAGGTCCCTCGCAGGTCCGAGATTTGCCTATGAATCGGAGTCGGGGTGGCAGAATGCAATACGGGTGACAAGATGCTGGCTTTTTGTCAAAGCAAATTAAACAGGAGGGTGTGGAAGAGATGAAAGACTGGTAAGAAAATTTATCTAACCCACAGCCATAAATCAAACCTGGAAAAGGCAAAGAAATCTTGAGAATATGAATAATATTGATGGTAAGATTGGGACTTTTACAAAAAGAAAGAAAGAAAGGAAAATGGAGGGTTGAAACACCCCCCCCCCAAAAAAGCTATTTGCTTGAAACAATTTCAGACAGAAAGATAAAAAGCAGAGAAGTGATAAACCCACTCAATTATAAACTCTAAATTTGGTTTTGGATTTGAAATAGAAACCAAATATTTCATAGGATTTACTTTTACTTTGTTTGAATTTCTTCTTCCAACTAATATAATCAAGAAAAAAGCACTTCTTCTCACTGATAACGGATAACTTAACCTTGATTGTGCGGGAAGTTTTAATTAATCAACTGCCATAGATCAGAACTTGGAAAAGCAGGAGGCAAAAGAGAAACGTACCCAATTTTGGCTGTTTGCAAGCTTGTTCCAATTGATATATTTTGAGCAGGTATTAAGGGAAAGAATAATAACTCAAGAGCTTGGAAATAAAAGGGTTTTTTTCCTCTTTCTTCTTTTTTTTCTGCAAAAGACTGAGATGGCCTCAGCTTCTCTTCCAGTTTCAAAGTAGTTGGATTAACTAAATTTAAGGTGGACCAGAATCTCGAAATAAGACTTGTATAACTAACTGCAATTTTGGAACTGGACATTAACGAAGAACAAAAGACCAAGATGGCTTCCATTGCTTTTTCCCACAGCAGTTGAAGTAGATAAATTTAAGGTGGATTAGAACTCTGAAATAAGAATTGTATAACTAACTATAACTTTGGAACTGGACATCATGGAAAATTGGGAATTTGAAGAACTACATGAAATTATAAAAATATGCATAAATCAGTAAAATCATTAAAATCAAGCCTAAATATAATTCTGAACCCAGAGAAGCAGATATCTAAAGAATAATTCAAAGGAGGGGGGGGCAAGACAATGAAGGGGTAGAAATGGAGGGAAACAAAAAGCAGACCAAAAACTCCATAGGTCTTGGCAGTGGTATAGGGTAAACTGTAAAAAGAGGAGGTGTTTCAACAAAAGGAAATAAAAAGCAGACAAAAGTGATTTTGGGGAGTGGCATAAGGAAAATTGAAGTAGGGGATTATGCCCCAACAAAGAGAAATATAAAATATCCTTTTGAGGGTGGCCTGGGGAAAATTGATGAGAGTGGATGTGTCAAAACAAAGAAAAGAGAGAAGACAGGAACAGAGAAGTGGGACAAAAGACTTACTAGGAAAAAAATCAGATATGGGAAAATATAAACCAAGATAAGGGTTTTATTCCTAAATATGACAATAAAATGGAGTTTCTAACTGGTTGAATATAATAATGGAAAGATAACCAACCAAAGGCCAAAATATATGGAATATCAATAAATATGAAACTGATATGGAGAGGTTGTAAAGCAGAAGTTTGTGATTCACTTTTATACATGATAATTAAACTGAGTTGCGAATTGACTGAAAATGACAATAGAAGGACAACTAAGCATGTTAAAACATGAAACATATGAAACATGGATATATTATATAACTTTTAAGATGATGAATAAAATGTGATGTTTACTGCTTGTTATTCTATATAATAGATTAAGGGAATTGTAACGAACATTGAACAGCGAGGTTTGCCATTTATAGACAATTAAGGATAATCTAATCCAAGATATGGAAAAATGGAGAGGGAACATGAAATACACCTACAATGGGAAACTATTGAGAGAATCACAAATTGGGGGCATGTAAGGATGTATAATTATATAAAGATAATGATGAGAATAGCTGGGAACTGTAACCAGGTCTACATCTCGACCAAAATTAGATTTGGGGGGGGGTTAAAAGCACAATGACTATATATGTATACTTTTTGTTCTATTTTTTTTAAAGGAGGAGAATATATGTTAAAATTAAATATGTATATTGAAAAGGAACTATAAATACCATCAACACAAAATGAAGCTTGCTCACAAGCTGAAATACACCAAGTAAATGACATGAAAAGTGGGAAGAAAAGGAGAGAGGTAAGGGAAGAAGAGAGGGATAGGAGAGACGGCAAGGAGGGGGGAACAGGAGAAATGAGGAGTGGAAATGGGAGCGAGGAGGAGAGAGGAAGGGGAAGTATAGATGGGAAGGATGACAGAGGGAAGAAAGGAGGGAGGGAGGGGGAGGGAAGAGGAAGAAGAAAATGATGGATAAGGTACAAATATGGTGTATGGAGAGCAGAATAGCCAATAATTGTTTCTGGGGAGTTGATGGTAAGATGAATTGATGTAAACATTTAATAATACAATACGATGCTGGCTATGTAATAGTATACATGTAAATTATATGTTAGGAAAATGAAAAAAATAAAAAACTTTACCAAAAAAATATATCACAGAACCGTAGAATTGTGAAGTTGAAAGCAATCAAAAATATCATCAGTCTAACATTCTATAATGTGCAGGAAACTAATCAACTGTATTCATAAGTGGGGAAAGATCAATATTCTCTTAGAAACCTCCAGAAATGGATAACTTACAACCTCCATTGATTAATTGTACAGATCTTGCCCCCTGAAGTTTTTCCTTGTATAAAATCTAAATAGCTGCACTCACAATAATTATTTCTGGTTCTAACTTCTGTTCCAATGGAAAATACTTTCTTACCATCTTTCCCATGGCACATTTTTACAAATCTGAATGCTGATATCAAATATCCTGTTTGTTTCTCCAACCTTTCTTCAAAATTTGATTACATAAATATTATTCAAATTCAACTTCTGTGACCTGTGTATATATCCACGTGTGCATGCACACACAGACACTGCTTCCCCTATGATGTTTTTGATTTCTCAACCACTATTTATTTACATTTATTGGCTGCCCTACTCCAACGGACTATTGCTGGCATACAGAACTAGAAAAAACATAATAAAAACATTAACTCAGAATGACAGCCAGACTAAAAGGATCTAATAAGCAACAAAATCAAAACAAAACATGAGTTTTTAATAAACATTAACCATGGATGGGGACCAAAGCCAGATTTTCAAAACTTCCCAGAATCCTGGGAGAGAGGGTGGTGTCAGATCCCTAAAAATGCCATGCAATTGGGAGGAGGGAGTCAATTTATTGGCAGTGTCTGTGACAACTGATATTTTATAACTGGTTTCCTAGTGCTGAAATGCCTGAGATCCCATCACCTTTAGGGGAATGTTTATGATGGCCGTGTGGGATGTTTTATTTTAATGTCTAACGGAAGATAGCCATGGGAATGTATGTTTATTCGGCTCTCAGGGCAGTTGATAAAGGGAACATTTTCACACTTGTGTATTGGCTAGAATCTGCATTCTAACAAAGGGGGGGGGGTTCACTACTACTTTAATTCTACTTGCATTGCCTAAGGGGATTCAGATATTGCTTTGCCTTTAATGGCTTCCATTTTGAAATAATCTATTTCAAGAGTCTTCACTTTCTTAAGTTAGGAGAGGAGCCCTTACAGGTGCTATCTTTATTCTGGGGGGGATGCTATTCTGGGGAGGGGGAGAGGAGGCATGTTTTAGTCCCACAAGATGACAATGTCTAATGGAGGGACCTGTAACGCATCCCCGCTGCTGAAATATACTAAGTGGGCAAAACAAATTGGGAAGTAATCAGTCTCTCACATCCAGGCCCTATGCCATATAGACCTTTAGGGATAACAGCAACATCTTGAATTGCTGTCAGGATCCAACTGGCAGCCAATGCATCTCATGGAGTAATGATGACATAGGTGCACCCAAACAGACAGCCATTACTTCTCACACTGCTACATTTTGAACTAGCTGTCAGTTCAAAGCTTTCATATGGTCTTCAAGAGCAGCCCCATATAGAGTGTATTACAACATGCTATATGTGAGGTGACCCCGGGCTAGTCTACCGTCCTAGTATTTTCTGCTGATCCAATTTCTAATCAGCATGGACCTTTACTTTTTGAGAATTGCCCCAACCAATACATTGCAGTAAATCCAAAAAAAGTGATTAGTAGAATTGCTGCAACATACCGTTGCCATACATGATACAGTAATTTGACTTTCTAGTGATAATAACTACAAGAATAGTCCAAGTGATAAATCTAATTCTTTAGAAGTGAAATCCTGATCAGAACAAGATGACTTTTCCCCAAGAAAAAATAAACCTCCCACTAATTTGTCTCACTTGTCTAGACTAAGCTATTGGCTCTCAGAAAACACTAGGTCCATGTTGGTGAATATATGGCACAAGTGCCACAGGTGACACATGGAGCCATATCTGCCACCACATGAGCCGTCAGCTCCAGCGCGCATGCACATGTCAGCCAGCTGGCTTTGGCCTACCAGAGGGCCGAGGGAGGGCATTTTCG